AAGTGAACCCTTCCTTCAAGGAGATTTCTTGGAAGGACCACCCAACACTTTCATTTATATTTCAGTAACCAAAACATGGTCACATGACCATAAAGCTGCAAATAAAGGAGGCAGTGTCCTCTGTTAGCCAGCTTTTTGGCTCGACAGCTAAATACCAGAGGCTTGTCCCTCTGGACCAAAGTAAATGAGGATCAGAGGGTACAGCTTGAGTTTTCTGCCACAAATGGAAACAGACATTATTCATATTTTCTTTTCATCTTGGGACTAAAGCTAGATGAATTTCACAGGAAAAAATAAAGATCATCATACTGGCTAAAGTCAGTTTGCACTTGTAGTGTTCATTTCTTCATTTATACACTGACTAGACAAGTGTTTTTAGAATACTTGAAATGCCTAATTTAACTAAAAGAGATCTCAGAAAGGACTGAAAAATGCTTAAGTCATGTACAAATCAAGATTACCTTTTAGAAATACATACACACTTAAGAAATTTAAAAGTATTGCCCACAAAGAAAGTACAAGCAGAATGCTTTAGCAGTTCAGAATAAGAAGGTTCTTGAAGCTTTGTAGATGAGCTGACTTTTGAACTTTAAAATTTATTCAGTGTTTGGATATGTGAATATGATAATGGCATCGTGGAATTGTGACAAGAACACAAACATGTAAAATAAGCATATTTCTACTCTAATCTTTGTTGGTAGAGAGATCTGAGACCATTTAAGCTCTGCCATCCTCAATAAACTTGTGTAAACAGACATTTCTGCCTCAAAGGGGAATTATAAGGCCCAACAGGTGAAAGTTCTGTGCAAACCGCAAATCACTGAGCAAAGTATTTTTTAACTGTTTTTCAAATTTTCAAACAGCAACTGCTCAGAAAGTGAATGCTGAAAGAGCAGCATAGACAAAGTACATGTTCAAGGGAGAGAGACAGAGGCAAAGAAAAGCATTTAGTTGGGTTTAGTTGAATAATTAGGTGTTTGACGGACACATAAGGAATAAGGTTTATTTGGTATCTTGAATAACATGCTGAAGAGTTTGGATTCCATTTGGGAGGCAGATATCACTGGGAAGTGTTTGAGTCTGACTCATGAAGATTAATATTACAGCACTCTTTGGGGTGGATGTAAAGATGTTCTTTTTATTAAACGTTAAGTAGCTGTTGCAAGTGAAGAGGGAGTGAAAGCCTGAAATACATGAACAGTGTAGGGTGAGAGAAGGTCAGATGGGAGGGGTATTTTGGAGCCAACTGAGTGGAACCCACCAAAGTTTGATAGAAAAGGAATGAACCAAATATTACTAGAACATTTTGAGTAGAGGTGATGAAGAGGATGAAGGTATCATCGAGAGAAACTGGACACAGTACAAAATAGTTTTGAGAAAGAAAACTTTGTTCAGTTTTCCAGCAGGAGTGATGTCCAAGTAGTGACGTCTAGCAGAGTTAGACCCAGAATTGGGGCCAGAATTGTACATTTTCATTTAGAAATTCCCCACTAACAAAATCGTGATGCATCTTAGCTGGATGGAAGAAATGTGACTCAGAAACAGAATGTTAGGGAATCATTTGTGGGTGGAAAGTCGTAAGAAGAATAGAAGTCATTGACCATGAGCCAGAGGAGTCAGAATAGCAGTTGAGATTAAGCATGACTTAAGTGAATTATTCACAATACGTGGAAAATACTGGAGAGTAACAGGAAATAATATTTTGCAAGTTGATATTTCATATTTCACATTAAGATCTGTAGTCAGTCACTATCTTTCTAGAAGGAAACCAGTAATCAAAACGTTTGCTTACCTTCATGAGCTGACTAATTATTTTTAGTTTTCAGTACTCAAGCTCCCTCCAGTTTAATTTGCCCCATGTTATACATTAGGCAGTGCTGAATACTGAACTGACTCCTATGAAAGCAGGGTGGAATGAAAAAACTCCTCCTAATTCAGAAATGTCACCAAGGGTGTTAAGATCTATTTCTAAGTGCATCTGAGGGGTAAAGAGATGAATGTGCTCTCTAATTTGTGCTTGCCACCCTCCACACGGGAGAAGTGGTCTTTGATTCAGTGTAAAGCTGCTGTCTGCCTGGTCTAACACCACCGGTTACACAATATTTTGAACTAATGATAAGTCTGTTGAAAAAGTGGTACCCTGTTGAGTGTTTCATGGTCCCTACCCAGACTGATTCCTTACCCCCTTTTACCATGCCCACCTACTTCTACTAAAATTACATAGGTGGAAATACAGCTTTAGTACTCAGAGATCTACTCACCAGACTAATTAGCATGGGAGAATAACAATTTTAAGAAAATATTACAAAATGGTGGAAAAGATAGGTGCTATGAGGTAGAATTTGTAGACATAAAGCTAGACACTCTGGGTGTAGGTAATTTAGAGATCACTTTCCGCCATGTCTTGTGAAAACCACAATGTTGCTGAAAGAGTGAGAAGTAAGCTCCAGATAATTTGTACACTGTTCAGGTTTGTAACTTGGGATTTCTGTGACAGAGAAATAAAATATCAGTTAGTTACGTACTTTTGGGAAAATAATTTAAAGTATGATTCTGTTAGTAAACATTTTTAATTTACAGGACTCTACAAAACAGATATGTTTGAATATGCTTGTAACTGCTTTGTTTGGTTTAGGGTTGGGAGAGGGAGCTGCCCTACATATAGAACAGTACCCTTTATGGGCTCCTGTTAGTGCCCACAATGAAACACCAGTCCTGCATGCTAAAAGTCTTAAAAAAAAAGCACAATATGACCTCAGAATCTTAGAGTATGGGCCTGAAAAGAGATTCAATGGCACAACTTGAGGATAACCATGAATGCCAGTATTATTTCATAGGGAAGGTCAGATTATAGAAGTTATATGAACAGTTATACAGGAACAAAAACTATTTTAGTAAACGTGAGTGGAGGCTACATGAATGGACTCAATAAAAACCGTGGATTTGGGTAGACAATTTGGACAGGTGTGTTTGATTATCTTTTATTAACTATAACTCTTCCTTTAGGATACATAAAATATTGGATCAGCTGCTTAATACAGTAGGAAGTATCAAAGACTGGAATCGAGAGATGTAGGTTTTAACTCCAACTTTGTGATTTGGGTAAATCATTTAAGATCTCTGGGTTTTATTCATTTATTTATATAGTTATTCAACAAATATTCAGAACCCCTTAGCCTTTTCTTTTCACTGAGCGTGTCACTAGGGCCTCTGCAGAGCTAACATATATCATTGAATAGTAATAACTGCTTAATGAGAGGTTTCATAGAAAGGAGAACTCTGAGCTGCATTTGAAGGGTTAGAGGGACATGGTTTAAATTATGGGGGGAAAGGTTGATTTGAACCAGGAAAGCAATGCCTGTAAAAGCATAGGGTCAGCCTAACCCATCTCCTAGGAGAGCCAAAGGCTATGTTACCTAGAACTGAGTCTGAAGATGAAGCAGAAGCAAGAGTTGCAAAGGTCAGAAGGTCAGTATTGACTAATAAGATGACTTACGGTGGAGACAGCGAACCTGATACAGAGAACTCAGGCAGACACTTCTTCAGTCACAACTCCTGTTTCAGACAGGTCTAACTGGGTTGGTAAGATGCCTAGAGAGCATTGGTAGGAAATGATTTTATTACCAAAAGAAAAAAATCCTATGACTAAGTTACCTGTTGCCCTTTTCATTATTTCCATGTCATGGTAACATTTGCAGATGGGTAATTACTAGGCATTCTGACACTATATGGGGTTTTTTTCTTAATGAAATAGAGAAAGGTAACTTTTATTTTACTTTTTCCATTCCCAAATGTAAATTTAACATATATCTCTTCATGTTAAAAAAGAACTGCCCTTCTTTTTTCCATTTCTTTTTTGTCTCTGTTGCTTTATAAATCTTCTACCTGCGTGAATTCCCCAGTACCCTTCAGCAAGAACAAAACTGAGCTGCTTCTGTAAGCCCCACAAAATATTCCCATTATTTTAAGTTTGAAAATGCCACAGAAATATTAAGTGAAATTCACCACACTGCTCTTATACAATACATTTGACCTCTAGATGTGTTAAGAGCTTCATCCTCCAATGCTTTTAATTCTAATCCTTGCAGAGACAAAATTCACTGCTTGAATTATAAGAGTGAGTCTCATTAAGGCTAAAAAGCAGTGACCCAGATAGCATAATGGATTAATATCATGACCTTGCAACTTTAGAGCTTTACATTCAAATCTGACTATGTAGTCAAATCATTTCAATAGTCAACTAATCAATTGTTTAATACCAGCCTGTAAGTGTTCTAAGTCATAGATCATGCTATATAGATGTAGATACTAGCCTATATAGAATTAAGCTGAGAACCATAGTATGCTTAACTTTCAAAACCTTTTTAATTGCTGAGAATTAAAGAAATGGATTTTCATGAATTACTGTGAATGCTGTGGTAGTAGTCGTGTATGTTAATTGCTCAGTCGTGTCTAACTCTTTGAGACCCCAGGAACTATAGCCCACCAGGCTCACTGTCCATGGGATTTCCCAGACAAGAGTACTAGAGTGGGTAGCCATTCCCTTCTCCAGGAGATCTTGCTAACCCAGGGATTAAACCTGTGTCTCCTGCATTGCAGGTGGATTCTTTACATTCTGAGGCACCCGTGAATGCTGTAATCACTAATAATTATATAATATTGACACTCTAATAAACATCAGTATTTTGAAACTTACACTACCAGTATCTGTTAATGATATATGTTTGCACTTCACTGCGGTGTAAAGAAGGACTGTAAATATGATTAACCAGGTCTTGAGTAATGAAATGTAATGTCAATGGATTTCCAACATTCTGTACTTTAGTATCTTTAGGGTGATATATATGGTTAGGATTATCCTTCTCTAGGAGAAAGCTGGGAATGTGTATAATTGATCAGGAGTTTTAAACTTAAAAACTGGAGTTTTAAGGCCTAGGGATTTTTTTTTCTTTTTTGAGAAACAAGTTTTGTGAAAAATTATTCCTGCCCATTTTTTGTAGATGCAAGATATACGAAACCCAGAAGGAACACAGTATAGCTCCCACCCTCAGATGGCAGCCATGAGACCAAGGGCTCAGCCTGCAGACCTCAGGCAGCCGCCGGGAATGATGCCACACGGCCAGCTCACCACCATCAACCAGTCACAGCTCAGCGCTCAACTCGGACTTAATGTGGGAGCAGGCAGCGTCCCCCACAACTCACCGTCTCCTCCTGGAAGCAAGTCTGCCACTCCTTCACCATCCAGCTCAGTGCATGAAGACGAAGGCGATGATGCCTCTAAGGTAGGACTTAGAAGAAATGCTTGCTGCCTAAAAAAATACTATTCACTAGCACTTTCCCTGACTTCAGGTGGATGGAGGTAATATCATTGAAATGGGAAGCATTGTGGGGGACTGAATGAGTTAAATCACCTGCTTGTCCAATTACATTTTTAAGTTCCTAACAAATCCTTTAAATGCAAATGTACTAAACATAGGAGTAGGTTGTACCCCCACAGTACAGGGTCTGTTAGTGAGTAAGGGAGAATAAATAAACATCTAGGACTCAATATCCAAAGTCAGGCTTAATTCACTGCTCATTCAAAAATATCTTTCAATTTAACTACTTTATTTTAAAAAGGCAATATCCCAGGGATATAATGATGGGTCTGTGTGTGTGTGATGGTTAGAGAAATCTCTGAGATCATCTGATCCAAACATGTCATATTTAGGATGAAGAAAAGAAAGGTCAGAAGCACTAGATGATGCCCTTTCAGAGAAAGGAGCCTGGGTGCTTCTCTACTTATCTTTTGTTAAACCCAGGCCATTATGGTTGTCTGTCTGCATCACCTTCAGTTATCTGTATAAAGATGGGTCTTCGTTGTCCTTATTTTTGGAAAATTAGCTACAAAAGTAGTTAGCTCTTTAAAGTATTCAAGGCAGCCTTGTCAAATGATTGTGTCATAACCAAGTATACTCTCAGTCAAGAACACCAAAATCATCTTTTTATTGCCTTGGTTATCAGTCAGGTGGGCTTCCCTGGTAGCACAGTAGTAAAGAATCCACCTGCAATTCAGGAGAAGAGGGTTCAATCCCTGGGTTGGGACAATCCCCTGAAAAAGGAAATGGCAATCAACTCCAGTATCTTTGCCTGGAAAATACCATGGACAGAGGAGACTGGTGGGCTACAATCTGTGGGGTCTCAAAAGAGTCAGACATGACTTAAATCGACTAAAGCAGCACATCAGTCGAGCATCTTTCAAATTTGACCCCTTGAGGACTCTTGTCCCTGGTTACTGTGAAAAATACTGGCTGCTACATGCATACTTCATATTCCTTCTCATTTTTAATGTCACTAATGAATTGTCATTTGTGTCAGTCTTGTTTCTTTTCACTTTGTGAGAATTTTGTTTTGGGATTCTGATATATACAGTTAACTTAACAATTGCTAGCTACACTGGAGAAGGCAATGGCAACCCACTCCAGTACTCTTGCCTAGAAAATCCCGTGGATGGAGGATCCTGGTAGACTGCAGTCCTACCAGCGAGTAGGGTAGTCCTACCAGGGTAGTCCTGGTACCCTACCAGGGGTCTCGAAGAGCCGGACACGACTGAACAACTTCACTTTCACTTTTCACTTTCATGCATTGGAGAAGGAAATGGCAACCCACTCCAGTGTTCTTGCCTGGAGAATCCCAGGGATGGGGGAGCATGGTGGGCTGCCATCTGTGGGGTCGCACAGAGTCAGACACGACTGAAGTGACTTAGCAGCAGCAGCTACACTAATCTTTTAACAATCCAAATAGTGACACATAGATTTATTCAGCCTGATGTCAAAAGACAAGGCTACTGTGTTGACATTTTATTATTTTCAGTATTCTTAAAGCTCTAACATTTAGGGCCTTAATCCTCAAAGCACTACCAGGGTAGCTAATTCCTAGAGATAGTGAATGACTCCCCTGTGAGCACGTTTTTAATAGACATACCAACATATCCATAGCCACACCCAAGTCATCTCCTTCATCAAACTGTCACACACCACACCAATACCCCCGCCACATCTCCCCAGAGGACCAGGTATGGACAACTAGGGAACACCTCTAGAGCAGAGCCCTTGGAAAACTGTTCTGACCTTCCTGTCCTGAGCTGACTCGGCCCCTTCCTTTCTTCCCACAAAAACCACATTAAGGACTCTGGCCCTTGCCTGCCCGCCCCCATCTCTGCCTCTTGATGACCCTGTATGGCATGCTGGGCCTCCTGTTTCTGGGTTTGTGTGAGTATAAACTTCTTCTTTCATGACATTCATTTCCATGCCTGCTGTCTGCCATCCCTGATGAAAACAAATGCCTGCTACGTTTTAGAGCAGCTGCACAGCTAGATGTGAGCGCCCGTGCTGATCCCCTCTACCCCACGGTCTCTCCCTGTCAGTGAGCCATCCTCTCATGAGGGAAAGAAAAAGAGAAGGAGGAGACTTAACTGATAGGACTTGAATAATGTATCGGGCTAGTGAAAGCCTGATCTTTGTCTGGTCACTTCAAGGGCAAAATAAATTTTTAAGAAAATATGTGTTCTAATGGTATCTCCAGCCAGTGAACACCTGGATCTAAATGTGAATGCCAAGAGTCTGTTTATGGTCAGTGATTTAGGTGTCGGATTTTGCATGGATGATGATTCAAGTTAAATTTCTTAACATAGGTGATATGTACTACATTGCAAGGGGAAAAAATTAATGTTCTACTCATAGGAAGGATCAGTTTGTGCATCTGAATTAGATCTTTGTCAGTATTCATTGTTTACATTTCAGGAAATTAATGCAAAATTAGCACCTTCTGACAGTAAATTTTATGCAGGATTATTCTTACTTACAAAAGCATTTTCTACACTCTTCAATTTATATGTGTAGCACACTGAGTAGAAATCAGAAGTTCATAGAATTAATATTGATAGATTCTGCCATTTTCTATTGACACATCAGGTCCACATCCTATACTTTTGCTGAGGTATGAATTTGTATGTTATGAGTTTCCGGGCAGGTGTGAAACTTTGCCAGTGAGTATCCTAACCAATCATTTAACTTCCATATCTCAGAGTAATTTATAACTCATTACTAATGATCATGTAAACATTGTATAGTAGAATATTCTATAGTGGTATATTCTTGAATAAGCCATGATGTGAAGGTGGATTTCTCAAGAATGCCTTCATTAAGGTGACTTTTTAGCTACACAAATACTCTCAAGTTCATGTCTAGTTTAAGTGCATTTTCCATCTCAAAAGCTATCTTCCCATTCCAGCTATACACACTGTCCTTCACCTTCTCTCCAGTTCAGAATTCCCCTGCCCATTTTTCAACTTATTTTTATTAAATGATTTTAAAAATTCCTCCGATGAAAGTGTTCAAGCATGCTTCATCACTGCCAATTAAATCAGAATTTTCCTTTATGCATGAGAAGGGTTTATGTGGAATGTTGTACTGCAACCGCTCCCATTAAATGTGAAGTACTGTTTAGTCAAAAGGATCACTTAAATAATTTCTAATAAGAGAACTAAAAAAGAATATTTAGTCTTACACCTGAAAAAGAAAAATTTAAACCTTCCTTCTTAACACTTTGTGCTCTCTTAAGCAATTGCATGTTAATTCCAGTTTATCTAATTGAACAAGTAAATGAAATAACTTTGTTTTGACAGACAGAAATATTGTAAATACATCAGTAAAATAAATTATCACCTTATAAACACTCCCCATGGCCCTGATTGCTATGGAGCTGTGTTGACAGCCTGAAGTCATAAACTAGACATACAGTCAAACATCAGAAAAATATAAACTTGGGTAGCTTATGGTTCTAAGCCTGTAATCCAATACATGTAACACAACAGACACTTTAAGACACTTAAAGTATCTGGCATTTCAGCAGTATTTTTAGCACAGTTTTCCCTTTAAGGAAATTATGGGCTAAGAATCACAATATATATTTTTCCATCCTTCTACTTTCAGCTTCTCTGCTGAAAGGATTGTATGTGTCTCTTGTCAGTTTAATATAGTTAAGTTTTTAATTTCAAGTGAAACTGACTTTTAATGACAAAAGCGATGTAATTTTTTTTGGTTTTAATTATGTTTCTTATGTTTTACCTAATATATTTTGCTGTTATATTTATCTCTATATATAAAACTATGCCTGTATCATGTCAAAAAAAATGACACTGACCTTACTTACATACATTCACATATTGAATAAATGCTAAAATTCTTGGGTTAATTTTTCCATTTAAGTATGTTGCTTTCTATTTGTCTCACATATGTCTATCTTTCTTTTTCTCTTACCTTCCTTAACATTGATCTTACTTTTCTCATTTCAAAATTTCCCATTTTAAGATCAGAAATTAAATTTTATAATCTTTCTCTTTGTTTAGTAACTACTCTTAAAAATGCATGAAAGTCTAAAACTGACATAAAAATGCATGAAAGTCTAACATTGATCAATATCTTTACCCTTTGTAAATTACTTTAAACACCCTCCTTTCAATTTATACTGGAGCAGTTATTGCTATTGTTTATCTTGATTATAATTTAAATTATAAATTATCTTTAAATTAAATGTAATTTTATGAACTTCATGAAATGCTATTTTTGTTGTTTTTACAGTCTTTTTTCTTTAGATTTATTCACATGTAAAATTTATTTTTTCATCTGACATCATTTTCCCTATGCCTTTGAAATTTTCTTTCATGATGATCTAGTGGGAACAAGATTACCTTAAAAAGTACTTTAACTAGGAAAAATTATTTTAGATTGATGGTGTTTCTCCATTATCATTTTGAAGATGTCTTACTCCATTGTATTCTGATTAATTTACTTTTATCAATTTCCCAGTTCATAATTCAACTTTCAGTTGTATCAAATCTGAAATTAATGCTCATATATGGAGGTTTTAATTTCAATTATTTTATGTCTCTAGTTTTATTCTTTCTTAAATCTGTTTGGAATTTTTTTTTTTTTTTTTTTTAGTTGCTTGCTCTTTATCCATGGATTTAATCTCTTTTGTTCTTTAAGCATTTGTTAATTCCAATATGTGAAGCCTTTTGGGGTCTGAGTCTGTTGTCTATTGTTGCCACTGGCCCTTGGTTTTAATGCCTTGATTCATTCTGCTTTTTTGCTTTTGGAATAAGAGCTGATATTCTTTAGAACTTTATGAGAATTCTATTCGACCTGTTTTGAAAGTGGACTCCTCTAAAGATGGTTTGTGTTTGCTTCTGCCAAGCGGCTTGGACCATTACAATCTAGAGCCACTTTTGGCTTAAAAGTTT